ATTCAAAGCATTCAAAAGCTTATAAGCCTCTTTGCTGTTTAAAATACTACAGTAAAAATTAGCTGGAGCTTAATAGTTTTGCTTGGTGCCCCTCATTCATTCCGGAGTGGAGTATTCCGAAATTCAAGATGCTTAGGACATAAGAATCGATCAAATTTCTAGTGTTGCACAAAAAACATTCACACATAGCTGAGAAGTATTGTCAACAGAAATTACCGTGAAAAATAAGTGACTTGGATTTCCAGATATCTTGCACCTCGTAGTTCTTTGTTTCAAAATGTGCTTGTGGCGGATGAACCAAGTGGAATCGATGCATCCCGGATGCGCCTGCGTGCATTTTTGGCTTGATTGTGGGCTGTTCCACTGCAAATTCGGAATCCTTTTCGACTCCGGCGATAAAAACGGTAGAAGACGTAATGGAATCAGTGTCGGGCAGTAGTAAGTCCTGTCCATGGCTGGATTCATCAGTCTTCGTGAACTGCTGATCAACTTCTTCCGGAGGGACAGCTACTTTTTCCCATACTACAATCCTTTCATCGCCAGTTCCGCTTCCTTCACCTTCCAATCCACGATCGCCTTCCTTCACTATTCTGTAATGTATAGCATAGATAACGCTGATAAGTGATACATAGAGCATATTCACCAGTGAAAATGATGACATATGTAGATTATGATTAGTGTCAACCAGGAGCAAATTGCATCGAGCAGGACGATCCGGCAAAATTGCACTCGCCTTCTAGCTAGTCACAATAATATCAAAAGCTACAAAACGGTACTTTAAGCAGTCTTGGAAATGTTTTTTATATTTTTTAAAAAGCGGCATAATAAAAACATGAAATAATAGAGAAACACACAAAGCCCGTGAAAAGTGTGACTGCAGGAGTGTGACTACAAAAGCAACAGATTTTTTTGGAAGCAACATTAACTATTGTCCCTACGGGCCGGTAACTAAAATAAATATGCACAGAGACAGATCCTTTTAGTGTGCTCTTCCAAAAAACAGCTTAAAATATTTATTTTCTGCTGAAGTTTTCGAACAGTTT